GGGGGGGGGGCGAGCCGGAGGAAGAGGACTGTGCGTGTGTGCGTGTGTGCGTGTGTGTGTGTGAGAGAGAGAGAGAGAGAGAGAGAGACAGAAAGCGGGCGCGCGCACGCGGGCGGGCGCGCGCGAGCGAGGAGAGAGGGAGAGAATGAAGAGGACAGGGAGAGCGCAGAGAGGAAAACTGCGGAAGCCACAGGGAAAGTACGGTACAGCCTCAGATCTTCTACGTCTTTTTTTTTTTTTTCTCCAAACTTACTTCTAGTTCATTTTCCCACCACACTGGGCTCACGCCTCACGGGGTCGTGTTGGGGACGTTCGGAATGGCGATCTTGCTTTTGTTCCTTTTAATTCCGCGGGCCCCTATTTCTCTGCCCGCCGACGACTGCGGCCCTGAGGGCTTTCTGCTAACATCCAGGGGCAGCTGGCGGTGCAGACCGTACCACTACCGGTCTAAACGGGTTTTTTTGTTTGTTTGTTTTTGTTGTTGTTTTTAAGCGGTACTTTCTTCCCGGTGCATATCCGGCACCCGTGTTGTCTACAATTATTTTTTTCAGGACAAGAAGAGATCAACTTAACTCAGTACTGTCTCCAAGCGGTGCGGACAAGGGCCACCCTGGAGAGTCTCTGGGGGCCGCGATGGAATTGGGAGGGAGGAAGTGGGGAGGAGTCGTTTGGGTGTTTGATGTTGTCTGCTGTCGCCAGGAGGGAGTGTGTGTGTGTGTGTGTGTGTGTGTGTGTGTGTGCGCGCGCGCGCGCGCGCCCGCGCCACTAGTGTGCGCCTCCGAAGTGGATCTCACTTAGAGCCGGGAAGCACGGGAGAGAGAGAGAGGGAGGGAGGAAGATACGATGCCATTCGAGGAGATTGGCCGGTCCTCCCTGCCCAGCTTTGTTGTGGTCGCCCAGGGCGCGGAGGCCGGAGAGCGTACCGCCAGCTACGGGGTGTGTTAATTATACCGTGCAATGTCGCGGGATCGGGAAGACGGGCCGACTACGAGTGAACTTTTCCGAAAAGGAAAAGGAGGAGAGTTGGGGGTGGGGGGAGGAAGGTAACTGTCCTACACTGTCGGTGTAGAAAGTTAGTTCTGGCGGGTGTCACGCCGAGTCCCCGGCTGGAGCTGCCGCCGGCCTCTCACCTCGCCGCCGAAGGGTCCGCGGCGGCGGCGCGTCAATCACTCGGAGCCTCGAGCTGGGGGCGGAGTTACGGTCACCCCGCTCGCTCTGCGCAGCTGCCCCCCCGCCCCCCTGCTCCCGCCGGCGGAGCCGGCCGGCCCTCCTCGCTCCGAGCGCACCCTCTCCCCAGCACCTCGCTCTTGTCGGGTTCACGGCCCCTGGCCCAGGGACTCGGAAACAGGCCGTTCCTCAACAGCCGACTCCCTCTCCAACTTTGAGTTCATTCTGGAGAGTAGAGAGTAGCGAATTCTCTGCGCGCAATTTTGACCCGACTTCCCCGGGGATGGGAAGCACAGGGAAAAATAAAGCAGTGAGAGCGAGCGAGAGGCGCGCGGATGGGCTTGAAGTTGGGGGGGGGGGTGTCTTTACATCTTCTCTGCTTCACTGTAAGCTTTCAGGCAACACTCGACTGAGCTTAGGTCGCAGCCTGCTGAGACTCCAAGCGAAGTCGGAGAAATTTGGCCCCGTTTTAATAGGGCTGGGGAATGAGCTCCGGAGGTCAATAAAGCCCTCCAAAAATGATGAATGATTGAGCACCTGTGATGATGATAGTGATTACCAGAGCAATTAAACAGTTTGATTAAATGAGCCATCATAACAACGATGTCTGCGGGAAATCGGCCCTCACATATAAAGATAGTGCGGCGGGGCGGCAGAGGCGAGGGTAGTGCGACGCCGGGGAGCGAGGCTGTGGACTTCGAATTATTTGCCGGGGTGACCACAGCACTGCCGGCCGGGCACTCGGAGCTTCGGAGAAGACAGTCTAGACCAGATTTTCGGCCACATTTACGCCGGGCTTCAAGCCTGTAATGATCTAACGGGTGTGAAATCTGCAAGCTGTGGGAAGGGTCCGTTCCCCTCCACCTTCTCATTTCTTTTTCCCTAGAAGAACTCCAAGATTAAAAGCATCCTCCTTATTTGTTGCTGAGTTGCTCGTCGACATATAAGAAAAGGTGAGTAGAAAAGGAAAGAAGACACAAAAGGAAAAAAAAAAAAAGTCTTGCAGAATTTTATTTCAAGCGGCAGTTACGCGAATTCAGTTTATCCGGGGCGGGAAGGCTGAGAGAAAAATAACAATCTGGTCTCCGCCTGCGGAGGGTTTTCTACTAGAGGACTTGAAATTGCTGTTTCCGAGTTCCTCGTGCAGCGCCGTTGAGAAGTTCATAGTGATTTTCAGTTTTTATTCTTCCAGTTGTTCGTATTTTCAATATTGCGTACGTATTGTCGCCAATAGGGTGGTTGTTGTTTTAAATAGCCTGTATAGTAAGCGTCAATTACTTCTTTTAAAAAGAAACTCCGTTTCCTTGATAAATGCTCCTTTTGTAAAGATCAACTTCGAAACAAGCCTCTACATTGCTGAGTTTAAACACTGAAGGTTTCTACCTTATGCTGCTCTTATCACTTTTTTTCATAGTGATACTGTGAAATGAGTTAGCATCCCCCACAACCTTTATTTTTAAAAACTTCACTGGTATTAAGAAATATATGAATTTCGTACGTGGCAGTGCATCCGAGTAAAGACATTTCAGAGCGATTGATGATTTCTGTATTTTCAAACAGTTGGTAAGCTAATAATAGGTTGATTATTCCGTGATAATCTTGGGTTTTACAAAAGAAAAAAAGATGAAACTCGATTTTCTTGTGTTTTAATCCTTTGGGCAATGCAGAAGTCATTTTAACCTGAACTCCTTTCTTCCTTACTTTCTAATATTTTGTAACTTCTTTTGCATTGTATTGCATACATTAAAGCAAACTACAGGGATAATCTGGTTGATGTAGGAGGGAGAGAGAAATAGGACATTTTAAGATAGAGTTGGAGGGGGGAAACCCCCCCCCAACCACAACCATCTTTAACTCCAAAGAACTTCTGTTTAGAAGTGCGAGAGGGTTACAAATGAAGTCCTAATGGAGGAAAGTATGCATCATTTTAAAATTCACCAACTGCCTAAGGAGAGAACCCCGAATTTCATGCGACTTAAAGAGATTTCACTGACCTAGTTGCATTCATTTATGAAACAGTAAGTGTAAAATAGCATCGCAAGGCAATAGATTACACACAAGATCAAGTTGGAGGTGATTCAGGGTGTCCGTTCTTGGTCAATCTGATGGATTCAAAGATGATTACTTTTAATCACTTGCTGATGTTTTATTAACAGAGCTAAAAAGCATTTAAAAACTTCCTGATCTCCCCCTACCTCCTTCATTTTTGCCGGTCCAATAGAAGCAATTCCAAAGCAGTGGGGGTACACACACTTTCTGATTTCTAGCCTGATAATTGCGTTGCTGACGCTCCAGTCTCAGCCTCTGCACCCCCACCCAGGCTGAGAGGCTCATCTGTTCTTCCACATTTGGGGTGAAGGAAAAGTAGGTGGGGCAGGCCCAGGGGACAGGCGCGAGATGGGGATCGCAGGAGGCGGCACACACCTCCGTCAACAGTCAGCTCCTTTTGCCCAGGCTGGAAATGGTTTTAACAGGCGGTAAAATTTCATCTTGCGGTGTCAAATTGGGGTCATTTTGGGGTTAGAGTTCTCAGTGTCCGAGAGGAGCTGTCCAGCTGCGTGGGGACTCATTAACTGCAAAAGATCTGTTTCAGTAAAAACAATTCAAAGACAATCAGAAGGCTAAAGACCCTCTACAAATCGCATTTTACAAGTGCCCCAGAACAAATATGGATGCTGAAACCTATTTCTTCAGAATCCCAAATCTGCTACTTAGCTCTGGAGTGGGGGTGGGGCACTGCATAAAAAAAGAAGTGAAAGGGAGGGGACCTGATCGGGTGGGGGTGAGTGGGAGGGGGGATGGGGCCTCTCAAATTTAA